TTAAAACAATAGTTTAATCGAAAGGACGAATAAAATGTTTATAGCAACACTATATTCACACTGTCATTGACAACACGAATAAAGTAATAGCTATTTAACGAACAAGTTTTGTTAATAAAGGCGATTAATAATCGAGATATTTTAACGCGCGAGGAACGAGCGCGTTAATGGTCGAGATTATTATTCGCCGATTAACAGTCGAGTTAGTTACAATACTTTTCCGGTGATCGTAATTTTAAAAAAATTACTGAAAATTCAAAATAAATAAAGTGGATAGAAGCATAGAATACTTTGGCCGCAAGCGTGCTATTGAACCTTTTTGGGAAATTTCGGAGAAGGATCCAAGTAATACAGATTCCGAATACCTTACAACCAGCTTTCCGGTGCACCAAGCAACAGACTCATCCTAGGTTTTTTGGTAAAGCATTTTGCTTCTTTCTGGAAGTAAATTTAGTGACTCCCACATTTGCGTTTTCTACTTCAGGAAGAGTTAAAGAATCCATTTCTATGCAATTTTCCATTTTGAATCTTGATTTGGGAAATTTTTGACATTCAGAAATATGACGTTATACGCAAGGACCTGTATATCTGGTTGCCTAAAATCATGCATTAATAGCCCTTATTAATGAACGATTTTCGTACAGAAATCATGCATTAATCGCCTCATTAATAAACGATCACCGGAAAAAAAACTAAAAATTCGCACTACCACTGAAATTTTCGTTGCTATGGATGTGTGGATATTCAACTAAAATTTGCAACGCTTGATAGTCTACCTCGTCCAGCTCCTGTAAAACAATCGTAATGAAAGTCCAGGAGCATCGTTTGAATTTGACCGTGACGAAAGTACAGGAAGCTTAGGCAATTTACCTTCTGCAAATGTTCATCATATTAGTAATAGTGGTTACAATCTTAGATCATATAATAAATAGATACCAATACTCAAACTGAAAGCTGTGACTAGACATGAAGGTGTATGTTGTCGTTTTCTACGTCAAGGGGAGTAGTATAATGCTATCCTTGTGTAATCACCACATCTTCATCTTCGTTATATGCATTTCATCTGTATATGTCTATTTCACTTCCATCCTTGTACCGCACCAGCACAACAAATCTTTTGACAGATGTTTCTTCTAACCTCTCTTTCGAGTTGTTGTACAAAAAACAATTTTAGAATTTAGAACAAAGATCCTATTTTAAGTGATGTAGTCATAAAGGATCACAATTGCTGCCCAATAATTTACTATTCCTTTCGTTATCTACTGTGAATTATTTATAAAATCAAGCTGTCAACATCTTTCTTCCGAAGTTAGTTCAGACATACTTCCTAAAATTTAGGCGCGCAAAATTCAAATAGTGATCAGGCAAGGATAGCTTCATTGTAATCCCTCCATGCACGAGAAAGATGTGTGACAGGAGGATGTCGTCACAGGCTGTCCTAGGGAACGAACACGGCATGGTGGTATCTATTTATTATATGATCTAAGGTTACAATTAATATTTATGTATATGGATTTTATTCACTTATACCATAAATAGCTATTTCACAATCGCACGGAAGAAATAGTTTTGTATGACACGTCAGTTAGACGACAGGTCCCTCAGGAACGCCAACTATTGAAACTAATTCGAAGTGGCGATTCTCATATAAAAATTTTAGAATTTTTTGATTTTTTAGCTGTTCTTTTAAGTTTTCCCTATTTTTTTTTATTTATAAACCATTCCCGTAATATATAATAATAATATAATATGTATATATTTCCTTCCAGACTTACAGTCTATAGCGGAACTTAAATACAAATTGGAATTCGCTATATAATAATAACATGTAACTAATAATTAATAAATGCTATGTATGACGAATGTACAACAAAAAAATAAAAAAATACAACAGGGTGGTACACAACGCTCTAATTAAGCGTGCATCATATGGTCATTATACAAAATCGCAAATAATTTTTTCCTTATGTTAACTTTACAGAAGTTATAAAATATGTCTACAACTTTTCCTACACTGATATTATAAAGCCTAAGAGTAGTTATATTAGTGGACTGTTGAAATGATATGTTGTGTTCGCCGAATATCAAAATAAAAAGTTATTGATGTTCGATTATTTGTTCTTGGGCAGACAAAATGTAATAAATCTAAAAGCACTGGGCAGTTTATTTGGACATGAATAAGTTTTTGTAAAAAAATTAGAGATGCAACTTTTCTACGGGCCCATAGTTGGTCTTCATTAACTGTGCTGCATAAAATATCAGTTTCACAATGAAAAGGGGGATACAAAAGAAATATTTTTAAGTGCAAATATTTGCAAAATTTCCGCAATACATTTTCTAACATAGTAATATAAACCTGGTGATAGGGTGACCATATAGTACTACAATATTCTAACTTAGATCCTATTAATGTGTAAAACAACAATTTAATACAATGGATATTTTTAAATTCACTGGTGTTTCTTATTATAAAACCTAGATTTCTTAAACATGCTTTTACAGTTGCTTCAATATGCGGTATAAACGTTAGCTTCTGATCAAATATAATACCAAGATCCTTATACTGATTGCAATGCTCTCATGGTATACCGTTGATATTATAATAGTAGTTATGGCTTATTAATTTCCTTGTATAAGTCACTTGTTTACACTTATCTATATTGATTTCTAGAGCATTATCAGAACACCATTCGATCAATTTGTCTAAACTAGGTTGTAATTGCAGGCAGTCATTAAAACAATTAATTACATTTATGATTTTTGAATCATCTGCATAGATCAACATTTTGCAGCCTATATGTCTTGCAACATCATTGAAAAATATAACAAAGAGCAGAGGTCCAAGTGTGGAGCCTTGTGCGACACAGCTTTTTACATCAACATCAAAGAATTTAAAACCACCATATTCAACAAATAGCTTCCTCCCCGTAATAACAGATCTTAATACAAACAACAAATTTTTACAAATACCGTACATTTCTAATTTTCTCAAAAGTATGCAGTGGTTTACCCGATCGAAAGCTTTGGTTAGATCAATATATATTACATCCACTTGCATTCGATTATCTAAAGCTGACGAAACAAACTGCGTGAATTCATATAAATTAATTGCCGTAGACTTTCCTTTAACAAACCCATGTTGCTCCGGTGTAATATAGTTAATCACATGTGAGTAGATCTTATCTCCTAATATAGTTTCTAGAACTTTCGAGAAGTTTGACAAAAGAGCAATCGGCCTAAAATTACGTACGTCAGAGTTGTCACCAGATTTAAAAATTAGCCAAATACACTGACGTCATCCGAGGTCATCAAGATGGCAGCGTTTGACAACTAGCCGGTTTTCTCATAAGAGTCAATGCTAATATTTTCGGAATTCAGTACACAGTTTCTAGACTGTGTAGATATCTGTAAAACGCACCATAACGTTTGAATATGCTTAAAAAATAATGTTTTCCAATGTGATGTACAGGTTAACTTCGCTGCATCTTATATTATTTGTTTTGCAAATTAATTCTTTGTTAATGTACATCAATGTTTTTTTAAATACACTAGCATCTTAATATTATAATATTTTGTATTTTCGGAGAAAATGCCTAAATTTTGTCCTGTTGTGGGTTGCGCAAATCGAAGGACCAGAAATGCGGACAAACTTTATATTCCTTTCGCAGCAGTTAGCAACAATAAAGGTAAATATATACAGGATGGGGAAAAAGGCGGAAGCTTTGGTTAAAAGGCTTGAAACGAGTGGATTTAACGAAGCCAAAGTAAAGTATTCCTATGTTTGTTCGGATCATTTTATTTTAGGTACAGTACCTACCTATTAGATTTACAGTTTCTAACAAATTACTACATTGGTGCTCTTTTAGGTAAACCTGCAGATTTGTCGGATGTGGACCATCCTGATTATGTTCCATCATAAAATTTAGGATATCAAAATAAATCCACTCATAATACTTGTAATGTTGAAAGACTCAGTTGTTTAAAAAAGAGAAAACTGAATAAATGTCTCTAGACTTTTGAAGGCACGAGTTTTATTGTGGGTTATTTTACTTACTCTAAAAATAAAAAAGTTTAGAATGGTATTCATTGTTATGGTAGGGACATCGTCTAAACACAAACTAAAATCACTTGCACTCATTGTATAAGGATCTACGCCGTTTAAATTGTTTAACTTTTGTACATATCTGTTTTTGTCTTCGACGGAAAGACATCGTGCATAATCACTTAAATTATCCATACTTTAAAAACAAATCACACACCTTCACTTAAACCCGTCACAGTAACCTCAAAATATTAATATTAATTTCCAATTTCCCGCTTAAAACACACGGATGTATTTTGGATGACGAGGAATTCAGACCAAAACAGTGTTCTGTATTTTTATTTTTATTATGTATTTCTAAACTCAAATCGCCAAAAAAAGCACCCTGATACACAGAAAAGATATGAAAGAAGCTATTCACGTGTTTATTTTCTAAATAAACACCCACACTTTTAAATAAAATGCGAAAATGTTAACATTGTCGCTTATGGAGTTTCATGGCGCTTGTCAAACGCTGAGTTCCCGCCACAACATGACGTCACGTGTTATTGGCTAATTGGACTTATTTTAGATTTTTTCCAAACAGCCGGATAATTACAGGTGGTAAGTACTAAATTATAAATGTAACATAACGGATCAATAAAACAGTTAATACAGTCTGCTACTAGAAAAGCGGGGATGTTATCTGGACCGCAGACATTATTGCACTTCAGTTTCTTAGCGGCGTTTAGTATATCTTCATCATTAATTCTAAATGAATGCAGCACAGCCAAATTATCAACTAAATTAATCGGACGAGCAATACAGCACTTTTTCCCACAAAATGTGCATCCTTCATTATCATTATCTCTGCTATTATAAAATGTCGCTTGTTATGCAATCCATTATACACGACAGGATTTTTGCTACATTTCTCTAGAATACGTAATATTGTAATATATATAGTGTGGAAAGGTTTTGACATTTGATCCGTGGTTTTATTTACGATTAGCGAATGAAGTTTTACGTATTTAGCATTAGCATTGTTGCAGTCATAGTAAGTGGGGAATTGTGTGGTTGTAGTGTTGTTTACATTGGTCGTTCTGTGGTAGTGTAGTTCTATGTTCTATGTTCTATGTTCTATGTTCTGTGCTGTGGTTCGGATTCGGACAGTGGACGTTGGACGTTAATTCGTAGAAGTAAATTGTGTCGGAAAATCGGAAGTGTTCGGAATAGGGTGCTAGATAAACATCACAATAAACATCTAAACAACTAAACATGGTTCCTAGTCCAATTTCGCCCCTGTGAATTCTCCCAAGTAACTGGCACTCCATCAATAATTGTGAAAGCCTGTAGAATGTATATACAATCTGTTGCTATCAAGTTCAACTAATTACAAATTTTTTATAGTGCTTACAAAAGACGTATTGTACAACTAATCAACACGAAAATCCAATACACACAAAGGTCCTTTATAACCTAGTTAGTAGCAGTTTTAGTTTGCACAGATAAAGGAATAAGCTGTTAAGTACCCTCACCTATTCGTTAGAATGTTCCGACGTAGTCAAACTGATACTGATGGTCATCATGAGAATTCTAATAATTTAAATCCTCAGAACAATTATAGTTGTTCCCTCATGTCACATTCAAAAAATACAGTGTGTACAACTCCAATGAGATCATCGTTTAGAAGGTATTTTCACAATTGTGACATTCACTATAATAATTCATTTGTTTTTTTAGATACTTCTTGGCAGATACTTGGCATACACCTTCACTAGCTCAAAAAAAGATAGACAGTGAATTTCATTTTAGGTAAAATGATAATTTGTCTGATTTGTTTATCGAACATTTAAGTAGCTTGTTACCGCTAATATGAAGATTTGCAAATTTTACATTTTCTCACACAAACTTTGCTTACCCTTTGTGGTACCATATCACTTGTGATAACAAAAGTTGCCCTGTTGGCACTGGATTTTCAGCTGACGTTCTCATTCCCTGTTGTGAATTTAGAAAATGAATAAGACTGTTTGTTGATCAAGCGCCACATTGGAGTACATTTTTGGGGATTATACTTCATTTGATAGTTGTTAATTTTGTTTTAGTAGTAATAATAATATTTATCAAGCACATTGTGAATGATCAGTGGTTTAAACAAAAAATTCAATTAAGGTTATAATTGTCATTAGATTGACGTAAATCTGATGGGTATTACAAATGGCTCAGTTTTTTTAGATACTTAACTTTAACATACTGGAATAGTTTGTCTATTTGAAATTAATTGATCTATGTGTATTTTAAAGTATAATTTCTTTTTTAGCACTAAAATTGATTGTGAAAGTCCTGGCTATTCATCACGTGTGGTGCGATATAATGAAGAACAGGGAAAACCACAACCAAGTCATCTTTGCAAATATGATAAGTTAGGAGTTTTTCCAATTGTACACTTCTTTAAAAAAGAACTACCATATCTCAGAAGAAAAGGAGTCAAAGCACAATTTTCACTTAATTCATTAGAAATTTCAAAATTATACGCACCAGACCATAATCAGTTATTGCTAGAAGAAATGATAAAGTCTAGTCCAGGAAGTCAAGAAACAGTTTCTAATAACCCTGAGTCAAATACCAAAAGTGTTCTAGATGCTTTAAAAGAAATCTCTGGAAAAAGAATTCATGCAGATGGAGTAAGTTTTTTTTTTGTTGCTTACTAGCATGATTAGGTATGTTAGAGTAGGTTTCACCACGAAAGGGGACAGCAGCTGGGAGTGCGCAAAACACAGTTTTGGTTTAGTCTTACAACTATCGTGAAAGCAGTGGCAGCGGCGATGTAAATTTAAAAACATGCTGGGTATAATCCGAAAGGTATTCAAATAATAATTTGTGTGTTCCGACAATGGAATCGGACAGCGATGAAGATTTCTCGTGTACCCCCGAAAAAATTGTCAAGGCGGCAAATACGGCTACATTTAATATCTATGTTCCAAAATAAAAAGTTTTTGAAGTTGGTGGGTGTTGAGTTTTGTTACGAACGCGAAAAAAATTTTGTATGCGACTCGTGAGTAAAGTGGCTTTTTTTTTACTCGGCGAATTTGCGCACTCGCCTTCGTTTTTTTTCGCGTTCTTAACAAAACTCAACACCCACCACGAGAAATCTTCATCGCTGATTCCATTGTCCGAGCACACAAATTACCACAAAACACCGAGAAAATTAATACAAACCACTCGTGTTGATGAATTATCATAGCAACGGCAGGCTTCTATGTTTTACTTCCGTTAAAAAATGCCACGCTACGACACTTTTTTTCACTCAAATGCGTGAAAATATAATATGGTTGTCTCTATTTTTTTTGTAGATGTTCTCTTTTTTGTAGAGACAAAATCAATCAAATGTCAGTTTCTTTCAATACATATGAATGCATTTAATGCCGCCGTTACGTACTTCAGTGCCGGCGCTGATACGATATGACGTACTAATGGTCGAATTCTTTTGAAGCATAAACATAAACAAAACAGTTAAAGTTAAATAAGTACTTGGAATTAAGAATACATTGTTTCTCACTGATTTATCAGCTTTAAATATAATTCATACTGTCCGCATTTCTTCAGACCGTGCCCCCTTGGGCTTTATCAATTTACACCCTCCTCGAGACGCAGGGATTGGGAGGGTGTTATTTACCCTTCTGGGGCGAGGGAAGGTCTGTCGAAATAACTCCAATAGTTTATTGGTCGAAGCCAATTTTTTTAATTGTTTTTAAAAGAAATACAACTCAGCAGAGCCTCCCTTCTCAATACATTGATGTTACGCCACTGATAGCCAGAGTATAATTCGCGCAGCTGAAGCCACACCCCAGTCACCTTTCATGGTGAAATTAGTTCTCGTAAATACTTTTTACTTTCTGAGCGTAAGCAAAGCAAGTATTGTAATCGAGTCCGTCGATCGACTCTCTACTTTTACATTTTCTCGACTTTTCATAACCCCTACAGTACGAAGAAATAGGTCTCCCGTTTCCGTCTGTCGTCCCGGATTTTTATTAGAGAGATAATCTACGAAAGTACTGGGCCGAATGTTGTCAAATTTTGTATTTATATTAGGAATATGTATATGGTAAAACGCTAACTAAAATTTGACCAATCATCCCCAGCAATAATGTGATGACGTCACTTCAAAATTGTACATAGTAAATGGGTTTTAAATTGTATAAAATAACATGGCCCTATACATGAAGTTTATGACTCATATTAAGTTTTTACACGAAACGTCCAGATTTTTTGAAAAAAAAAAAATCAAAATTAGAAAACAACATTTTGCAATTTAATTTGGAATCTGCAAAACCGAATGCTTTGAAATTTTGCAAATGTTTTAAAGTTATCATAAGCACGGTAAATTTTTGATCAAAATATATTTGCTTATTCCCTCCAATTGATTACGTCGCCCCAAAATATTGCTGTGTAAATCCTATCTTAAATGTGCAAAATACGATGAGTGTATAATAGTGATTTATCACTGCATTAATATTTTTTAGATTTGTTTAAACAATTGGCTCAAAAAATTAACGAATGAGTCAATTTCTTTTGTTGATGAAATCGTAAACTCCATTTTCTCAGAAAATTTTGGGAATACAATACTGGTATTTTTAGTATTACACTGCACCAATCCAAGTTGATATACCTACGTATCCTTGTTTTTTCTTGCACTGGTAATGCGCTGTAACTACTTATCTTTGGTGGCGTAACTAGTATTATCCATCTTGATGACGTCGTCACAAATTTTTTATTGGTCAAAATAAGAAGGAGTCACCCCATTTTCTCGAAAATGTGAAGAATACGCACGTATATGTATATAATAATGATAAAATAAGAATTATAATAATCAGAACATTTTGTTAGATTGTGGTTTAATTAATAATTTTAGTCCTGTGTTTTGAGAAGGCAGACCCATTCAAATCAAAGTAATTTCTGCGTGACATTCTTTCGATGTATAAACATAAATAAACACTTGAGCGTTAGATTTCTTATACCTAGTGTTAAAGGACAAGGGTTGTTAGAGATGGATTATTTTAAGTTCAATATGGTGAGTCATCAGAATTTGACAACGGACTGCCAGTCAGTAGCGTAACATGCACACTTCAGAAGGGGGGTTTTTAAATTTATTTTTTTAAATCGTAAATAATAACACAATAAATTGTTTCCAAATTCACCAAGGCGAGTTTAAGTACTGTTTAATTTTTCTAAGGCATCATTTAGTTTAAAAAGTGTTCATTTTCCAAATAACAATGGTGTTTGATAAATTTTTGAAGTGTTTTTCTATGAAATTTAACTAATTTTCAGGATCAGGTTTTATAATAATTTCTTTACAAAATTTCGAATACTCATCGTCATTTAGATAAAAACAAAATTTTATAATTCATCAAAATGTTTCCAATTAAAATAAATTGCTTCCAACCATGTGCTCCATCGAGTTATTACCGGAACCGGGGCAGAGGTAATTTTGCAAGATCTTGTTTATACCGGGTGTCTGGAAAATGGCGATTTAACTCTTCAGTACGTTATATACGGGGGTTTCTTTTGCGACCACGGGTTCAAAAAGAAGATTGAGGTTATGTACGCAATACTTGTGATTGTTTCTTAAAAAATGAATAAATGTGTGCTACTAACATTACTTGAGTATACACATGGTAGTTGGTAGACGGTAGAAAATAAAATGATTAATTCAGCGACAAGTGTAAACGGTTCTCTTTTTATTGAAGATTTAGATTAAGTTTGATTAGAAATCAAAACAAAATCATGTTGCGTCAAAAAACTGAACGTTCATTTTTTCAATTTATTGTCTTATGGTTTCTACTTGTGAAAAAAATAGTATATTAACCACGGTTGTAAAGCCACTTCTAGACCTCGCTTTTCAGAGCCCTCGACGCTGCGCGTCTCGGGTTCTAATTTGCGTTCGGTCTAGAATACTTGGCTTTGCAACCTTGGCTAATAATATACTATTATGATGTAGATTACAAAAAAAAACATAATTTTATAAAAGTAAAATTGGCAACACTACTTACACCTAATGCGTGAATACCTCCGGCTTACTTTCTGATTTCTTAGTAACGATGGTGACTGAAATCCACCTTCGCTTTATATCAAGCAAACATTGTCAATAGTCCGCTCAAAATAGACATTTCAAATAACAAAAACTCCGACAGAACTGAATTTTGGTAGAAACCTTAGCTACACCAGTAGAAATAAAGTAGCAAAAGTCCCCATAGATCCTATGTGTGGTAAAAAAGTTATTCAAGGTCAAAGGTCAAAACTTTGTATTTTTAGATTTTTTTCGAAAACAGTAACTTTTATCAAAAATATAGCTCAGATAAAAATTGTAGATCATAAAATTATCTACAAAAATGATCTTTATACTTTTTTTCCTAAGAATCACGATTCCCAAGATATCGCCGTTCTAAAAGTTGAAGGAGTTGACATGCACACAAAGGCCAAGTAAGTAAGTTGGCAGCAACCTAACACTATAAGATACACTGAAATTTCTACGCTGTCACTCACAGCTGGCTGTCACTGTCGCTGTTACAAATGTAAGACTACTGAAAGTTCCATTACTAAGGTTAGGCCACTTTTGTGACTCTCACCTCTTGCTTTTTTAAGGTACGTGTCCACTTGAGAGGGCGCTTGCGAGAAATAATTTCAAGATCAGCCCGTAAAGCCATGGTCGGACCTGCCCTCAACTGGGTAAGCGCATCGCTTGCCCAGCGTTTTTACCTGGTTTCTCCGAGTTTGTGAGCGACTCTCACAATACGAACGCGTTTCGTAGTGCGACAATGATCTCCGATAACTCTGTTTTACGTATATTTTTTTGGAAATAACTCAATTCAACTTCAACTTTTAGAACGGCGATATCTTATGAATGGTGATTCTTAGGAAAAAAGAAAAAGGACCATTTTTGTAGATAATTTTGTGCTCTATAATTTTTGTCTGAACTATATTTTTGATAAAACTTACCGTTTTCGAGAAAAAACCAAAATATCAAAAATTTTGACTTTTGACCTTGAATAACTTTTCGCACACATGGGGACTTTTGGCACATTATTTCTACTGGTGTACCCAGGTGTCTACTAAAATTCAGCTCTGTCGGAGTTTTTATTATTTGATCACTATTTTTATGCCTACTTTGACCGGACTACAAATGGAATTTTATCAAATTATTACAAAAACAACACAACCATATCCTTGCGTATTCTAATTGAAATGGTAATTAAACATGGTCGTGGGTGAAAAAAATATTAACTAAAAGTTTTATTACTAGATATTGTGATAATGAATGAGTTGTTTAGTTGTTAAACGCAGCAAAAGAATTAATTTTAAAATCATTATAACTCCACCAAAATGTGAGAAGGATTTTTTTACTATTTTCCCAGACTCACCAGTTGATTGTTAAGAGCGTAGTGGAGAATTAATCCGCCATTTTCCAGACACCCGGTATAAGGAAACTCTTAATGGGGCTTTACGAAGTATTTTTAGTTCCCGAGCGTAAGCTAAGGACGTATAGTAATCGGGTCCGTCGGACGAATGGCCACTTTTACACTTTCTATAGTAGGGTGGCACAAAAAAACGACTATTTTTTTTTTTTACTCTCGTGTGAAAATATGTTAATTTATCATGTTTTAAGACCCTCTTCCAAAGGACAGCT